CCCCGGTGTCCCTGGGAATGTCTACGAGCGGAAGCTCGTCTACCGCACGAAAATGGTATTCTACACCTAACGCGGAGACTCTCAACCCCGTCCTGGACGAGAGGTCTCTCTTTTTCTTTTTCTCTCTCTTTTTCTCGGAGATGATTTGAGCTTTCTTCCGAATTTCAATTCTTGGTCGTCCGTTCGACTCCCATCCATACAACACAGAAACTTGCAGCGACGTTGTTGCAACATTTCAATAACATTGCAGTAATGCTGCTGAAACATTTTGGAATATTTCAGTAACATTACAGTTACGTTGCTACAAATTACTGAAATGTTTCAAAATGTCTCTTGCTTACTGAATGCAATGTTGCTGGAATGATCTGTGTTGTACGGGCGGTGTTGTCGAAGATGGCTCTACACGTCTCTCTATCTAGTCTTGCGACAAGTGGCTGCGATTCTGCAAGCGAACAAGTCGCTAGAGAACGATACTCGCACTCGCGCGCTTGATTTGAAAATTTTCTCCTTGTTTCCTTTTTCTTTTCCCGCGAATTTACTCTTACACACCACCGCGCAGACCACTTCGCGTCTTATCACTCACGCATTAAGTGGTAATTCGCTACTCTCGTTAGCAAAAAACCGTATCTCGTACTTCGTATCGGCTACACGTATAAATTGTGCAAAAAATTTAGCATGATTAATTGTAGGCCTTTTTTGTCGGAAAAGGCACGCGTACATATACATATATGTATCTTGCGTCATATTTCTTTTTTTTTTATCGTATCCTCCTCTCTGGTGTATGCATATGTTATATAATATATGTATGTATACATAATGCGTAAGTCGTGTATACAAGTACATGTGTAGATATACCATCGACAAGAAAAATGAAGGGCAGAGGAAGGAAGGCAGAGTAGGGCGGGGCGAAGGGTGTGTGAAAGAGCGAGGGATACACATCTAGCACAATAATATCCATAACAGCAATCATAATAAATATTCCTTTGCATCTTAAGTACATGAAAAAGTCTCTGCTCCTGCATGCTCTCGATTTCTTGATATTGCTAGACTTCAACTATATCAAAACATCATCCTTGTTCTCGAATTTCTCTCCTAACACTATTTCCTTCTTCTCTCTTTCTCTCTTTTTTTTTTTTAGTAGCGATGCACTACAACTTTTGTCATTGCCCGAGCTGCCGCGAAAGAAACGAGAATCGTCTGTCTATTAAGATTGTGTTCCAAAATATATAGTATACGTAACGTAAACTGTAGATTTTCAGCGCTAGCAGTGAATTCTGGAACACAGCTTAAATCATGATTGAAAAATAAAACAAGAGCGACAGAATAAAAATTATATAAAATATAATATCATATTGTGGAATCGAAATAAACTTGCAGATATATAAGATAGATAAGATTAAAATAAGCGTTTTTAAGAAATGTATGCAATAAGAACAATTAACGCGCTCACGACGCTTAGCATTTGCACATACAAAACTTGATGAGCAATCATCTTTTATACGATATTATCAAAATATTACACGCATTCAAATATTTCAAGCATTTACTGATTATTTTTTCACAGATAATATTAAAAAAAAAATAATTCGCTTCGAAATGCAATCGTGGATCTCGAAAGAAGGCAGTCGTTCCAATCCAATGAGACATCAGTGTTGATAAGCGACATTGCAGGAATCCGTTGAAACGATTCGCGATGAAATCCGCATGTTATGTAATCTGGACTTTTGTCTTGGGATCGTAAAACATCATCGAGCGTGTGCAAATGTCTCCTCATGCACGATGACAATCGTCGTCGCAAAGCAAGACAACCGTGGGTTATGGTTTTTTCTCAGACATTTTATCAGAATTTATTATTTCGTGTAAACGTTTATAATAATTATAATTTACAATTACGATGAATTGATGATAAATACAAATAGAACAACGTAATTTGGGACGAGGAGAAAAAGGGGTAAAAGGGAGAAAAGGGAAGAAAAGGCGGAGAACTGGATTGAAGGATAATGGTTTTCGCGTGAGTGGATAATAAATGGCTGGATGGATAGCTATGGCTTTCCGCATGAAGAAAAGGGCGAGAACAAGATATGAAGGACAAATTGTCAATTTAGATGATCAAACTCGTAGTGGAATGAAGGGACGTGCCGTCGTTGCTCCTCTCGCGATCGCCCAACGTATGCACTATTTGCTCTCAAAAAAGTACTTTTAATTCAAAATGATCGATTAACAAAAGGAGGAGGAGACCTGGCAAAGAAGATTGAAGAAATTGTATCAAGAAAGCCGCTGATGATGATGATGATGATGATGATGATGATGATGATGATGATGATGATGATGATGATGATAAAGATGGTAATGATGATGATAATGTTGATGGTGATGGTAATATTGATAATGATGTCGATGATGTCTCTCCCAACCGAGTAAAGTCACTGCCAGAATTATTAAAAAAACATAACGTTTATTTTGGAAAATTCATAATATTCAGAAAATGAAAAGAACACAAGATGTTAATGTTCGATTTGTTGAATAGAGGATGGGCGGCTAGGATAAGTATTAAGTTAAATTGGAGAAAACATCCCTGAAGAGTAAATTCAAGAGAAAGGAGCGAAAGGAGGAACATTGTATTTGAAGGAGAAAGAGGATTCGCGAGAGGGAATGAAAAGAGAAGGTTGTTGCATTCAAGGGCTCACTGCGCAAGATCAACATTACCTCTGATGCATCATGATGGTTTTCGCATCTTGCTATTTCTGATTACACACGCACGCACATACACACGCCGAGTCTCACCCAGCCAGCCCTCGTTGAACATTCGAGGACTTTCCGGAAGAGAGATAGGGTCGGGGAGACGATATCTGTCTGTAGCCTTCACCGTTCGACTCTCCGATCTCGAGTCTTTTCAAGCAGAACGAACTGCAAGACCAAAATTTAGACGACAAGAAACAAGCATAATAGTCTCCATAATCATATTTCATCTTTAATAAATGGCGAGTCGTGTAAATATTGAAATACTCACTTCATGTTTTAACTAATTTCTTGTCGTCTATATCATATCTTCACATTATCTTGCCTCGATGTTAAAAAAACTTATCTGTAACGCAAGTCATAAGATACTTCTGCCAGAATATAAGCTCGATTTCCACGCTCTGCATTCATTGCGATAGAAGCAAAACTGACGATAAATTATAATATGAGATTTCATTCTCGCTTCTGCTCGACGGAAGGAGGAGGAGGATGGAATAAAAAGAGTCGCCAAGTTTCGGATGCTGTCACTGCTCATTGTCTCTTCGACTTCACGTTCGTCTCACTCTCGTTTCTTTTCTTTTTCTTTCTTCCTTCCTAACAACCGAACGGTGTTCTAGCGTGGCGAACCTTTCCCGGCGATTATGGACATAATCTTGTTGCGACAAAGACACTGATTATACATCGAGAAATATCAACGCGATAACAGGAAAACGTTTACCCATTCACGTGTAATTAGCGACTAACATGCTGAAACTGGCTGTCTCCCATAACGATATTATATATGCATGATATTAATTGTGTGTACGTGTGTATGTATGAATATATATCAGACTCAGTACGCGCGCGTATATACATATACTTAATTATACATATATATACGAGAAGTGCACGAAGATGCATTTAGCATCTCGTTTCACGTCTCTTCTTTTTTTTCTCTTCGCGTCGGATGGCGAACGCGAGCGGAGAGCGTAATTTGGATAGTCTTTGACCTCCCATTAGAATCTTGCAGTTTTCTTTTAATGTAGAATATCTTTCTGTTAACAATGATCGAAATACTACATTGCGTTTCAAACATGTGATGCACGTGGTACACGTCGAACGAAGTCTTACATCGTCCGTATATAAGTTGTCAATACATTTAATTTGAATACATCGCATAATTTATTATTCAACACATCGCCTCGATCTTATCCTAATCAGTAATTGCATATACAAATATGTATGCAATTTTTTCTGCGACTTTCTTCGATGTGTACTTGATCAAGAGGCCAAGCGTTTACGCGAGCCTCATCTTCCTCGAGAGAGCTGGACTTTGGTACTCTACAACGACGCTGTTTTCAAAAAGCAATTATCATAATTCGCAACATGTAAGTTTTTTTTCGCAAACCCTCAGAAATGAACATCGCAAGACAAAAGTAAATATGTGACCATGATGCAAGTAGATGATTGCATCATGATACGTGACTATATCTATATTCGTACTTGTTATGATTGTTTCTCTCTCCATTCTTCTCGACCGCGCTACAAGTTTGCTAAGAAAGTATAAATATATAAATATAAATATATATATATATAGAATATATATATATATATATATATATATATATATATATATATGTGTGTATATCTGTGATGCATATATTATATAATATAATATTAATTATATATTATATAATTGTATAATATAATAGAGAAAGAGAGAGAGACGAGGAGCGGTCGAATAGAAAGAGCGAGAGGAAGTCGAAGGTCCGGACATCAGGATATACAATCTTTTAATAACGTGTCGCACGTGTGTAATCTCTGCGCTCGATAATGGGAACTGAGCGGCTCTTAATCAGCTCTCCGTCCTCCTTCCGCATTCCGCGATCACACAAAACTTGAGGGAATATGTGCGAACGATCGCGATGACGAGCAGAATGACGGCGAGGAACGTCTCCTTCTCTTTGCATTTCAACACAACTGTGATAATGAGAATAATGGTGCATTACTGACCCTGATCGATTCAATCTTGTCTCTCCATGTGTAAATTACAAATAAGATTGAAGAAATGTGGTAAAAATTCAAGGAAATTAATTTTAGAATCGCGACTTTGGGTTTTCGGTAAAATCGCAAGATCGTGGCGAAAGGAAAAGGAAGAAGAGTCCGTGTGGGAAGAGATATATGCAGACTGTGTGCATAATCACGGTGGTATGTTGGAGAGAGGAGAAAAAAAGTAAAAAAAGATAAAAGATAAAGTGTGAAAAATCAAGTGACCACTGATGTTCGTTTTGGAACTTAATAACTTAATGTATTTGTTTTTACTCTCCTTTCTCCTCCTGCGTTCTTCCCTTCGTATAATAATATTCGTTACTTGCTAGACAATGTGAAATTTAATTTAAATGACAACTGGATATAATGTAGTAGATTCATGCGTGCTTTTTTCATTTTCTCGTTCTCTTCGCTTCTTCTCGTACCTCCGTGCTGTTACTTTTGGCTTGTGTTTTATTATTATTATTTTTTTCATTCTGACTTTATGTTCTTTTTTCTTTTGAAATGGTAAGCAGCGAGTAGATTTTGGGAATAACGACAGTGAGTCGGTCGGTCCCCTGCATTCCATGTCTCGTACCAATGTGTATGATTTACTATTTAACAGCATATCATTCTTTCGTTTTCTATTCGCAAAAGTTAAATGATCTAGCATTTGCTTTCTTTTTTTCTGCTATGTGCGTAATCGACAATGAGGTGCACGCGCGCACGCGTTGACTGCGCTCGCGTGACGATTTTCGCGTCGACGAGACAGGGTATGCGGGGGAGATGTAAATGTGTCTCCTCCTGTCCTTTCCTCTGTTCATCCACAATTCGCTCCTTCCTGTTCCTCCATACAAATGGGACAATAAACGGATTTCTTTTTGCCTAAGAAATTTCGTACGCGAGAGGCCGAGTAATCCATATGCTGCTCGATCGTTTTTTTTCACTGATAATGGTTTTTATCATGCGTTATCTTGATCCGACATACGCTTCATCAACATTCTTGCCTGACTACTACCGGGTATTGACCAATTTGTGTTTAGTTTGATCTTTAAAAAAGAAAAATCTTTAAGATCCTTCCTTTGCCATTATCCGCGAATAGGCATGATCGAGCATGAGGGAATAATTCGACTCTTAACGTTCGAATTTTTCGAACCGGACATAGCAGCTATGGCGGTGGCATCGTACGGTGCAGTGTACGGTCATGTCAGGATAAAGAGAGAGAAAGAGAGAAAAAGAGAGAGAAAGAGAGAAGGATCTGTTTTTTTTTTTTGAAAAGGAGAGATTTAAGGAAAAGGGAGGCCTGCGATTGGAAGGAAGGAAGGAAAGAAGGAAACGAGGTACGCGAGGGACGAGAGGTCAGGTGGATATGGATGGATGGATCCGGGTAGATGGACATACGGGTGAGCACTTCAGGGGGACGGGGGGACGATAGAGAATAGGATGTTCTTATTAGGTTTAGAAAGGACTTAAGCGTAGGAAGGTTAGTTGTCGCCGCCCTCCTGTGGCTCGTCCCCGTCGCCCTGCGTGTCACTGGTCCACAGAGTGAGGTTATCGCGCAGCAGCTGCATGATCAATGTGGAATCTTTGTAGCTGTCTTCATTAAGTGTGTCCAGCTCCGCGATCGCGTCGTCGAACGCCTGCAAAAGTAATAAATGTGTCAGATACTTTTCTTTTAACCTCTCTCTCTTCTCTCTTTTTTTTATTGTTATTTTAATCTGTACTCTTTATTACTTTAACATATACTATAGAAAAAAATCTCTTTATTATCACTTTAACATATACTATAGAAATCTCAACATTATTTTTTAATGATAAAAATAATTTCCAAAACAATCATTAGAGCATTCCAAAAAGTATATTTTTTAAATATAAAAATAAATTCTGTCTATAGGGACAATTATATTAATTCTGTAAACATCCATAATTACACAAGTTAAACTATGAATTAATATAATTATTAATATAAATAGAGAACATGATGCGGGATGGTTAGTGTGGTACCAGTGAGATCTCTCACTTTATTAATTATGTAGTAAAAATTTAAAAAGGGATTAAACGACACAACATTCACATAACAGTTAATGTTAGAATTAAATCAAATTAGAATTTGATCATTAGAGAATAAATAAAATAAATGCACACGGCAAGAACTACGGCTGACTTCATTGTAAGACTGCTGATTCCTGCAATTTAAATATACAAAAAGTAAAAATAATTATTTATCTATTTAATTATTCAATTCAATGAAGAAATAAAATAATGTCTTATTCTTTCCTTATTGCCTGAACCACGAAGAAAAGTAGAGATTTTAGCAGGAGTGCTTTAATCAGAACACAGCTTTAATTATCGTTCGTGTTTCTTATCAGCAGTCTTATCACGTACTCAATTCGACGGGAAACAAGTTAATGCACATAACAGAGGCTTTATATAAAGAAAAATATCACACGCAGTAACGCCAAGAGCAAGCCTTCCACAATCCTCCCTCTAACCTGCTTGGCTAAATGACAGGCTCTAGCCGGGGAATTGATAATTTCGTAATAAAAAACGGAGAAGTTGAGGGCAAGGCCGAGCCTGATCGGATGCGTGGGTTGCATTTTTGCCTTCGCAATGTCAAACGCCTCCTGATACGCCTTCTGCGAATCCTCGACTACCGCTGCAAATGCAAATCAGCCTCTATTCAGATTACACCTCATTCATGACCTCATTTTTACGCCGTGATCATCGCAATAATAAATTGTTGTCGTCGGGGAGATGTGGCGGGAGGAACGCGAGGAAAGACGAACGAAAGCTGAATAAAAGGAGGGAAACGCTAGTGAATTTCAACGATTCGTCTCGTGCCTGTCCTACAAAGATCGGCGCGTGTCGTTTCATTTGGAATTCCGTTGGCCTTGAACGAGCCGTGTCTATAAATCGTCACCGATCTTCCACGACATGACCCTGCAGGAAACGTGCATCTTCGTCCTGAGTCATCGTGCATGAGTCAAGCGAGTAATACGCTAACGATGTTATTACAAATTTAAATGTGTGTAAGCGCCTTTTTCTGCATATTAGGCATTTTATGCGTGGTATTTATAGCAAATGTGTCTAAGCAAATTAGTCAATAGCTGTCCATTACTCAAATAGCACTTAGTTACTGAAATCATCTTGATATTACATAATCTGATAATTGTTCTTTTATCAGTAAATATTTTTTATGAGCAGTTTAAAAACTATATATAAAAATAATCGTATTGTATCATAAATCAAACTTAATCTAACCGAACTTTGTAGAACGGAAGTGAACAAGTTGACAAAACGAATCGTGTAAAATAATTTTTGTCACCACTGTGTACCATCACCACCATCACCGTCATCGAGCTCTCTTTCTCCAAGGAATCACTAAAAAATAACAATTAGTCCTCTGATCGTGTACCTGTTTGGCCAGTTGACAGGCCTTGTCTGGTGAGTTGAGAATCTCATAATAGAAGACAGAAAAGTTAAGGGCGAGACCTAGCCTGATCGGGTGGGTAGGCTGCATCTTTGACTTGCTGATTTCGAAGGCATCCTGGTATGCCTTCTGGCTGTCGTCTACCACGGCTGGATATCACATGGATCATCAAATGTCTGTCTGTCTGTCTTGTTTTGCGTAAACTAACACGCTTCGAGTGCATCGTATCAAATCGGTTTGAGAGCTACTTAGAACTAGAGGTACGTAACATGGATTTATCGCGTTTCGAGATGCGTCATGAAAGGATTACATTTTTATATTATTATTAATTTGTACTTTTTTCTAGAATTAGATTTTCTTAGAAATTATTAGAACTAATTTTTTATATCATTTATCGATTTATTTTATTTATGTTCTAAGCAGCTCGATTGCTCTTATGTGTTTGCTTTTAGGCAATTTATATATTCTTCTAAAAAAGAAAAAGAAAAAGAAAAAAAAGAAAAAAGATAGACATTAATATTTTTCTTGAATGTAATTTTACATACATGTTTAATAATGATTTTGCATTTAAACTGAGCAAAAGTCTTTGTAAATGCGACTTGGAATGAAAGTCACCTGATTAGTAACACTTAAGAGCATTTTTATCATATCTGCGAATATCATGCTTACATTCGCTTCAATTTATTCGTTACTTATTTTCATCTAAATCTAATTAAATTACTTTCTAAAAGTTTTAAAGTGAAAATCTCACTCTTAAAGATTAAAAATTGAGCCACTCGTTTTCTAACTGGTTCAATTTTTCACTATTTAGTATGAGATTCCATTTCAAAAAATTTAGAGAATAAACATAAATATTTGCAATTCCCTGGACTTTATACAAAATATTCGCGTTTTAACTCTCATAAAACTTCTTTACAATGTTCCAAATAATAAAGAGCAATATAAATTCCAATAAATACATTCGATTAATTTAAGAAACAAATCTTCTAATTAATCTTCAATATCTAGTATGTATTATATAGCATTAAATAATTATATACAAAAAATGTTTAATGGTTAATAATTATCTTTGGAATCAGTATTCTTTGCAGAACGACTGAAATATGTGCGACTAAAGTTTCACTCGACAACGTTGCAACCGACCCGGTTGCGACTTTCACCCGTGAACGACCGCGACTGCAACTGACTCTACTTCCGATGCAAAAGTCCAGGGATCCGCCCATAAGTCAAAACGAAACATCTGTCGATGCAGCTGCGTCGTAATGTGCCACAATTGGTCGGTTTGAGAAAGATCCATCTCGTACACTTGCACAATCGGATGCACTTACATCGACTCCTTCGAGGAGACGATCAAAGCGAGGTGACGACTTTGCGAGGAACTTTCAGTAATTTTATGTGCATTCAATGTGGCAAAAATAATTTTGGATAGCGCTTTACGCCAGTCACGCTGATACATTCGGTAGTAAACGAGAAGTCACGATTGCATCGTCACCAAAGATAGGTACTTTTCATTTGATTACACAAGTCAACACAATCGTCATTCTATTTTTCTTGGTACCCATAAGTAACAAAGATAAAAATGTCGATACTCGTGTCAACATGTATCAAATGGAAAGAGCTCGCTTCGAATCGCCTCTCGCTTTGAGAGATTTGTTCCGGATCAAGTACACGAGATAACGCAAGGGATCAATACGTACTATTTCTGGTTTCACCGGTGGCGACTTCTGCGAGATACCTGTAGTAGTCACCCTTCATCTTGAGGTAGAATACTTTACTCTCGGCATTGCTAGCCTTGGAGATCAGGAACTTATCCAGGAGTCCCTACAAAGAAGCAAATACAAAAAATGAATGAATAAATGAATAAACGCAGCACTGAGATTAAAATAAGATAAACAAAATTAATGTAAAAGAAAAATGAGTTTAAATGCTTAATTTCCTGTGCTTCATGTACAATTAATTACACACAAAGTTTCGGACAAAGAGAACTATGTACTTTCATAAAGTTTCATCAGTAGAAGATATTAAAGGGGGAAGGGAGATTTAAAGAATGTTTAATTATTTTATTAATTTTTTTCATATATTTATTTATTATTGATTAAAAATTTTTGGATTTTTTTATATATTTACTTTTGATTAATTAATTTTTCATAAGGAAGAAGATTTAATAGAACATATTTTAATAATTATAAATATAGATATGAAATATAAATATAAATATAGATAAAAAGAATATGGTAAAAAGAATATAAATATAAATATAGATAAAAAGAGTAAGGTAATATTATTGTAGAGGTAAAAGTAAATATAAAAAATGTTATCAAATATCTTTTTGTTAATATTAATAAAAAAATTTATATTAAAAATATTAGAGTTTATAAAAGTTAAATGAAAATGGAGAAATTATATCTCATGTACCTTGCTTGTTTTATTAATCAAACGATTCTCTTTTATTGTGACCGCTGTCAATTTCTTTGATAATTCTCTGATTTTTCTAATTTTCAGTTTTGTGATAACAATCAAAATAATCGATATAATTATATACTTTATCTGTATATTACTGTATATACATAAAAAAATATATTGTATGTAAATTAAATACATACAATAATAATACATGACGCACATACATACATATATATAATACTGAAAATATTTTCGGAAATGAATTACGTAATGATATGTGATGACACATTAATTTGAACTAATAAATCAGTTATTAATTACCATCGGGCAATAAAGCATGTCTACAAACTTTGATCATGTGATTAAATTAATGTGGACAACAACGTGGAATTGATGCGCAATGCGCCGGTCAATGACGAGTCATTTCACACTACGCACATTCATCCCAACCATGTCTACTAATGACGTAAGAGATGCTATGTTGGCTGACCAACTTTGCATGCGCAAAACTCGCGTGCAAATAGCGCGAGGATATTTATTGCGTCTTAACGCAAACATGAGGTATCGACCGCAGCGATCGAGTCGATGAAAGAAGATAAATAAAATTCCTCAATTACGGTTACGTCACAATAACTTAATAACTTTTGACCCAAAAGCGAAAACAATACAATACCGCATGTATACAGAGATTCAAGGTTTGTCACACAATTCCTTATCCTAAAATTCTTAACTTTTCCTTGTCAAAATGTCATAACTTTTCCTGCTGCTTTCAATAATATTTCGAAATTGTTTGTATTTTCGTCCTGATTTGAAAATCGTTAAATATTTTGTTGAGAAAGCAATTAAACATAGCAATGTAAATTTTACTATTAATGCTGACACTACTTGCATTTAATTGTTGTTAAATTAATAGTATTCCAAAACTGCGTAAGTGTGATGTACGAATATTGAACTTCTTTAAAGCCAAGAATTTTAATTTTCCAGAAAATTTTGCAAAATTCTCTAACTTTTTCCTGATTTCCCCGATTTTCAGTTTCATAGCAACTCTAGTAAATAAAGATTGCATCGTAAATACAATTTCCGAAATAGATTCCGTTTTCGCTGTCGCGAAACTTCGGGAGGTAAATGAACACGCTCGGATCCCAAGATTCTAATTTAACAGCTCCGGTTATCTTATCGTCGTGCGAGACGACTCTCGAAAAGCGCGTCGCCGCACAAATCGTCGCATTTCGATGCGCGAACGCGCAGTCATAAATTACGCCGCATAATCACGTGAGCGCGCGACCCGCGTCGCAATGAAGGTAGAGGGAAAAAAAAGAAAGATAGCCGCGTTGTACGTCATCGCCGTCGAGTTTTACCGTCTCTCTTTCGCGTATCGAGCTTCGCCAACGGGACAGACCAGTTTGAATTACTCCCGAAGTTCTCTCATTTATTCCTCCGCGTTTATTAATTTTAATCAAGCGCTGTTTTCCCCGACGACTTACAAGGCAAAGTCACCGCTGTAAATTATCGAAACGCTTCTTTGAAAATTAAATGAGGAATCATACCGTGAAATCTCTCTTTCGCAAAGCAACGATTTCCATCTGAAATTCTATATTTCGCTGAAATATGTAAATATAGATCTAAAAATAAGTAAGACCATCGAAATAATTACGTAAGAAACTCAAGCAATATTGCAAAAAGTTTTAACATTCTAGAAATCAGTTTGAACGTTCGACATAATTTTTTTGAAAGTTCAAAATTTTCAGATGCATATCTAGCTAAATTTTTAGATTCAGCAAAATTGTTCTTTTCGTATAGTTTTATTGATCGTTTTACACTGTTAGATATCAAAGAAGCAACAGTAACTTAATCCCACGAATTAAATAACACTTTGGTATTTATAACTCTCATATGTATCAAAAGATAAATCAATTCATTTCTGTAGTTAGTTTCCAAGTAAATAACGTTCATATTACTTTTAGTAAATAATAATAAACCAAATTTAATACACTTTTTTGATTGAATTGCGTAAGTGTTAAATTAGTTATATTGAGTGGAACTATAGAAATGATTAAAATAACTCAATTGGGTATAATTTGACATTATTTAATTTAACAGTAAATATGTATTCTCCATATATCATTTCCGAAATTATTGAATCACATTATTTGCTGTCAATATATTTTCTGTATCATTTTTCCCTCTCCTTTCATTTATCGCCCGTTGTCCGATTTATATTTCTAAAACAGTTGTGCTTCGCGACAATTTATTTGAGATGACGACTCATACGTTCTTTCCTCTATGTCCATCGAGTTAGAAATAACTCAGTTTTATTAAACCGCAGCAAAATCGGCGGTGGCTACGTCAAGGTGCAATACAATAGTGCCACGCTTACGATTACAGTGACGTATATAGGAGCACGAGAACAGGAACACGACTCCGATCGCCCGGCGATTGCGTTTCAGCTGGAGTCTTGCTCCAGTTTCATCGTTTGACGTGCATCTTTCAGCCATATCTCCTCAAATCTAACTCCTTTCCTTCCTTGTAATTCTCCACTCGTTACAATTAGGAGCGTCTTCGAGCGACCATTTTTACAATTTTGCGCACAAAATTAACGGAAAACTAAAAAAATACCTTTTTAATAAAAATAATAATAAAAGATGCGTAAAACATGATGGCGAAACAAGTAATATACAACTCAAATGACTTAATTAGATTGAAAAAATTAGAAATGTCGGTATGTAGTCAAAATGTATGTTTTCAATATCTTTTTAATTAAAAAAAAAATATTTTTAATTAAAAAACATATTTAGAACATATATCTAAATATCTTTTTTCAATTAAAAAAACTTTTTAATTAAAAAATATTTAGGACATACCATTTTGACTATATTGACTGTATTAACATTTCTATTTTTTTTCAATCTAATTATGTTTAAGTTATATGTTAGGCGTTTTAACGATATTATATTTTATGCGAAAACTTTCTTATTATTATTTTTTATATGTATTTGATCATTCGATTTTTTGTAGCAACTAAAGAAGATTTTATTAATTTTAAACATCCCGCTTGTTTAATTATATTAAATATATTATACACACATTTTATTATACTAATTTAACATTTTTTATTTGTTCGTTTATAGTCTTTTTAATTTTGTATTGATATTTAGAAAATATCTTTTGATTTATGTAATCTAAATTTACTTCCTTGATTTAAATAATCCAAAGGAAGCGATGTCACAAATAGAAACATTTACTTCGTTTCAAACATCCAAATATTCATAATATTCATATTATTCATGTTGCAAACAAAAAAGCGAATGTCTTTTTCTAATTTATATTTAAATCACAATTTTTTTCTTTCAATAAAGAACTTAAAAACATTTATGAGATTCATAACGATGCAAATTGTGCGACGAGAAACAAATGCGCTATTCTATTAAGTGTCATCGCGTTTATTCAAACATCAAAATAAGATTGCTGGTACTTTTTTCTTCCCATAAAGAAAACAGCCTCGAGCGAATTTAATTCTTTTGAAAAAAGGTCTTCTATTACGTGGCGGAATGTACCATTTCCGGTGGTTCGAAGTACGTTCTGAACAGGCGTGCCCGCTTCCTCTTCCGTTTCCGCTTATTTCCGGATACTGGAAAATATCACCCACGTAACGAGAACGGAGATCGAATGTAATCCCGAGGCGCGTGTCGCAAAAAACATCGAGTAGATTATAATTCGCCGAGTTTAACGAGTTTCGAGAGCGTCCGAGCGATAAAGTTCGAAAGGTCACGTTTTAATATCTCGCTGTGAGTCTCTATATAAATAAAAAATGTCCCAAGGAACAGATTGAAACTTGGTGAATTAAAATATTAAAGGATTCAAAAACAATTCTTAAATCATTATCCAACAGGATAAAACAGCGATTTATAACTAAAAATTAAAATTTAATCAAAGAAAGTGATAAAAGGCTATTTTTTATATATCTAACATTGTAGAGATTTTTTATATATCATTCACAAATAACTCGCGACTAATTAAATAAAAGATAATTCCAAAGTTGTTATAATTCCTCATCCTAAAATTCCTAATTTTTTCTTGAATTCCAGACAAAATTTCATTAATTTCCATAACTTTCAACAATATATTGGAATTTTTTAATTTTTTATCCTGATTTCGAAATCATTATATTTTGTTGAAAAAACAATTTAATATAGTAATATAAATCACTATTAATGTTGTTGACGCTGCTTGTATTTAATCGTTGACAGTATTCCAACTGCATAAGTGTAAAGTACGAACACAGCCAAGACTTTAAAGTCATTTTTTTTATTTCCCAAAAAAATTTTGCAAAATTCCTTGAATTTTTCCTGATTTCTTTGATATTTTCATAATTTCAATTTTCCTGACATTTTTATTATTTCTATTTTTGTGACAATCCT